GGAGATAGTCCCGCCGCCGGTGGGGCCCGGGATGGTCAATCGTGAGATTAAAGTGTCGGCAAAATCGTAGGGGTGCATGGGGTTGATTACAATCCCAAGTTCGGTGACGGATGGGTATTTTCGTAGGATCTGGGTAGTTACACTGGCGCCAGGGGAGGATCTGAGGCAAAGTCTTCGCAGGGTACAGTCAGAGCACCCGATGAAGGCCTCCAGGTGACGCAGGAGAGTTGGATCATCATTCAGCGTATGTTGAATGGTGATTTCCCGCAAGGCCGGTGCCCTGAGATACGTCAAGATGTCTACGCGAGACACGTATAGCTGGCGGAGATGTAGTAAGGCAACGACTTGACTGAAAGGCGGCCAGGGTCCCTCGTCGAATTTGACGTCAATCCGGGCCTGGACGAGACTCGGGGCGAGTTTCAGAATGCTGTGATGCATATTCCATGCGCCCGAGAGATAGTAGTAAGTTAACTGATGCGCAGGAAGGAGGATTGGCAAGGTACGAGATAGGCTGTACATCCCTGCATCGACCAGAGACTGTGCGGTGCGGAAGCAATCGATGGTCCGCAGCGTATCTCCTGTCTGGATGCCAGAAGGATCTTGGATCAACAGTCTCCGCAAGGAAGGGACGCGATCTCGAAGCACGGCGAGGAAAGGAAGCAGATCCGGTGTCAAGCGGAGGCGAAACTCCTCCCAACATGCCGACCACTCTGCTAAAAATTGAAACATTTCGATTTGGGATCCAGAATGAACGGCCTCGTGTCCCAAGAAATGTAACTTGATTGTCCGGGCCCGTTGGAGTTGGAGCTTAACGAGGGGTAAGGGATATGCGGATGTCGGCCTCCACACGATGACGAGCAGCGACCACAAGGAAGGAGTCGATACGGCGACTGAGCGCCAAAGGCCACTGACGTGTGTCAACGCCCACGGACCATCCGTCATGTGGAACCTGCAACGGGCACGCCGATCGCGGATCGATGGCAGCGTCCACGAGAATATCTCGACAAGAACCTCGGGTGGGATCCGTCGAAGTGGGGAGAGGATCGCTTGATTTTTCGCACGATATCTCGACAGCGAGGTCTGCTCCTCCTCCAACTGCTCCAGCCGATCCCGGAGTTGCGATATCTCCGTCTCCAGAAACGCCAGACGGGCACCACTGGTCGAAATCACCGATTGGATGAAGGTCATTTCCGAGTCCTCTGGTGGCTCGTTAGTCGTTAGTAGCTGGTGATGGCGTGGTTCGACGTTAACAGCAGCATCGAAATCGAATGGTTCTGTGACTTCTGTCCGAGCGGCGCCATCGCCAACAGCGCCACATTCAGAGCACTTAAAGGTGTTCATCTGGGAGGTTCGATTAGGAGCAAGGAAACATGATCGTGCGAGGCGAGCTACCTGCTCAAATCGAAATGTCGCGGCGCGGCGGCGGGGGCAAGGAAGACGTGAGTGTCACTGATTGGATCACCAACCGATGGTGACACGTTCTCACGTGACCATCGCGTTGAGTTGCGTTGTATTCAACCAGGCGCGCTCGATTCGGATTGGTACCGAAAGGGATTGCTGAAACAAAATAGTACCTTTGAAATCCACCACATTCAAAGTTTCCGAAAAATTGAACCCCCCGCCAGGATACAACACGGATAGGTAGCGCCTCGAAGTCGAAGAGAGCGTGTGGGACAGTGCCGTTCTCCAGGTCGCGTTGATAGGATATTTTGGTAAGCTGTCTCTACGTAATCAACATAGTAAAGCTACAATATTATATAACAACCGATAATCTTCATATGGAGGGCAGTTCAAAGTCTCCCCGTCCCCTGCCCAGCGGCGAGCGTATTTAGTTGGAATACAGTCCTCAAGCTACCGCCCCGGGTGTTGAATACCGTAATTTCACCGTCCGATGCTACTATAGCATCATCAAATCGACCCCGCTCCTGGAAGTGAGTGCGAACCTGACGAGGGCGGGCGGGATAAATTCACTGCGTTGAGGCCCCCCGTAGACACAGGTGAGCAGCGGTTCGTCTACGTGTGTCTACATGTGTCTACATATGTCTACCCGCGTAGACAGGGGGGGTCTACACCAGATCGACACACCCTTTGCAGCGGTTCGTTTACGTTAGGTCTACGTCATGTAGACACGGCATGCCCACATTGGGCTACGTTCGGCTACGTTCGGCCACCTTTGTCTACTTCCGTTACCGCTGGTAGACACATGGTAGACGCCCTGGCCATAGGTACCCCGATGTAAGGACGGACAAATAGCAGGAAGAGTCCTGGATTGGGTCGGAGGATGGTTCAATGTTGGTTGAACGTTCAGTTAGGCCGAGTTTGCTGCGTCTGATGCCGGAAGCCCGGGCCTGCCAAACAAACCACGCAGCCAGTGCCGAGTGTGCCGAAACGTGAGAACACAAGAATAGAAGTGCGAGGAAATGTTCAATTCACAATTCACGGTCAGTGGGAACCAGAAGATATCTAGAGCATGTGTCTAAATTTGGCCAGATGAGTCTACATGAGTCTACCTTAGGTAGACACACTGTTGCACACGTAAACACGGGTAGACAAACATTGATGCTCTGTGTCTACTCCATGTAGCCATACCTAGACATAGATCTGTGTCTACCCATGGGTCTACGTGGGTAGACATAGCCTGTGTCTACGGGGGGCCTCAACGCAGTGATTCGCGATTTCACCTCGTTGTTGAACGGCACACACTCGGGCGTACCCACTTTTTTTAGTTTCCATAGCGCGTCGAACTGAGCAGCATTTGCTTTTCAATATCCAAGTACAGGTACCGCTCGCGTTCTGTAATTCCTAAACTTTAATTTCTTTTGGCTCTTCGTGTCGGTGTACCTCCGCGATTTCCACAACTAACATCGCCTGGCACGGCTTCGCATCAAAAAAGGACGGGCGTTGCTGATTGGAGTTGTCAGGGTGCAACCTCCCTGTTGAAGGCAGTGCAACTTGAAGTGCAACCGAGACGACGTGGGATGTGATGGCACTGCCCTGTCCATAACTCACTCTGCACAACGACGAGCATGCACCCACCCATCGCCTATCTGCACCTCCTTCCCGTGGAGGTCTGGACAGCATGCTGGACTCTATGCTCTCTTCGACAACTCCGTCGAGTCTCATCGGTGTGCCGGCTCTTTCGATCCATCTCCCTGCCACTTGTCTTCCGGAGCCAATCCTTCGACGTGGAAGCATTAGGGCAAAGACTTGGCCGGGATAACTGGATGGACTGAGTTCGCCATCTGCATCGGACCGCAGTTCGGCTGGATCGATTGATACAAGGTCCCTACGCGCCATTCGTTCGGTCCTGGAAGGTCGCCTTCATGAATGGCCCCGTCAGTCGTTACCACCGCGGGATCCAAAACATTCACCTCTTCGATACTACATCGGACAGGCTCGCCTCGACCTTTTCCAATACACTCGGAATCTACCAGAATCTTTCCGCTCTAGATATTCGGCGGTTTACCATCGACACTGCCTTCCGAACCACCTTGCTGTCTTTGTCGCGTTTGGAAGACCTTACTCTCTTTCATTGCGACATCATCGCCTGGGATGGCTTCCTGAGGCTGGGAAGCTTGAAGATAACATCCCGACGGGTGCCTAAAGCCAGCGAGGAGCCACTCCAGATAGCGTCCCCAGATACTATTCGCACCCTCAGTCTCTACTGGAGTAGCGAAATGGCTCTCCTGAGGACCGGATACGGATACGCGAAGTTCCCTCATCTGGTCCATCTATCCATTGATGTTTTGCACGATTTCGACGTCGCCCCGCTGTTCCGTTTCTTGGAACGATGCCCCCAACTTGAATCCCTGGCGATAAAATCCGTTTCTCGTCAATCCGCCCTTCCCGATGTCCACCGCGATATCATCCCACTTCTGCGCACCCTCGCGGGACCACCGAAGTTCATCCAATTATTCGCACCCAACCACCCAGTTAGCCGGGTGACCATCCTGAGCGGGGGAGCCAACTTGAACGATCTTATGCACATATGCATGGATATCTCGCGCAGCCCCCATCCTCTTCATTCCCTTGCGCTCCCCAGCATCACTCCCACACTCGATTTTTTAGTTGGCATCACACGCTTATTCCCTGAACTCAAGGAGCTGACGATCCTCGTCAAGGGCTATAGCCGCGAAGTATTTCGCTGCCGCCGCCGCCGGCTCCGTGCTGCAATTCCTGTGGACCAACGGTCGCTCGACCTCTGTGATGATGACGCATTCGATAACCCGCCGGTGGATGACATCTCCGATACCGAGTCGGAAGAGCCGAATCATGCGCCTACCGCGTTCGCACTGCCTGGAGGGGCCTCTGCGACGGAATGTGCTGGACCGGAGATAATGGGCTCCACTGGCATTCATGTGCGCGCCATATCTATATTTTAGCATCGCTAACGGTTACAGTAGAATATCTTACGCTGGATCTTGGCCGGCCAGCTTAGTCTGCCACCCAATATTGAAGTCCTTCGGCTGGAGCTGCAGACTAAGGGCGAGGGACTATCTCTTGTACAATCCCATCGGGCCATCGCAGCCCTCAGTCTCGCGTATCCTCTCCTGCGGAAAGTGCAGTTCGGCTTCCCCTCCAACAGTTGGGAACGAACCGGCAAATTGTGGAAGGGGCAGGTTGAAAGTGCTGAAACTTGAAGCAGAAAGATTCGAGAGCGGATGGCTACCTTCCCGTGGTCGTCCACAAAGATTCAGTGAATAGCCTGAGGTCACCGTCTGCTTAGCGCAACATCTTGTATAAATCTGGGTCGTCCGCTGGAATTTTACAATGCTACGTCATCTGGGAAAAAATCGGGTTCATGAGACATCTGGCTGGAGCGTGTATATAATTTCTCGCGATATCGTTCGAGGATAATTCTTGCAGCATGTTGCGCGCTCTTTTCAAGCTAGTGCCTATTTTAGACAAAGTTCATCGATATGATCTTTTACATTCATTTGGATACGCGTTAGGCCCTACTGTTCTCAAAGCAAAAGAGCAAAAGAAACCACCACCAGTTATGGCATCACGGTGGCTTGAACACCAGACCTTCAGATAACGCCGAACATTCAGATAACACTGAACCTCTTTAGTCTGCTGCTCTCCCAACTGAGCTATGACGCCGAATAAGGGTTGTCACTGGAGTAGGTCGTAATACCGAGATCGATTTTTTCACCCCGCAACATCAGGGCTTCACGGTATGCTCTAGATTTCGAGCCCAGCACAAAAGCATTCTAAAATTTCCTCCGAACCTTGTCCAGGCTCGGGTTGACATCCCAGTCGCAGTGTAATCGTTGAATTGTTACGTCTCCGCTCTCTCTACGTGGGGAATCCAAACGCCTTACAGTGCCTCAAGGCGCCAGCCTTGCAAGAAATCACTATCTTTCTCCAGAGAGACAGCTATCTAAAGACTCTGCGGTACCTCGACGCTTTTATCGAAAGCTCTGGTTGTACCCTGCAAAAACTCTCCCTCCGAGCGTCCCTCAGCGCCACCACGACTGCCCAGATCCTGCGGACATACCTATCCATCACCGAACTTGCGATTATAATTAGCGACACGACGCCCAACGACTTCGCCGACACCTTGATCTCAGGGCTTATCATTCACAACCCCGGTGGAGACGCAGCACTGTCCCCACACTTGTCCGGGATTTATGTTATACGTCGGGGTTCACGGCCCCGGGGGCCTGTTCAGGCTGCATCAATTACGCTCTTTACCATTCCATGCTACAATCACGGTGGAAGGCGGGAGGCGGAAGGATGTTCCCTCAAGCGGACCACACTGCTAATGGAATCGGGGCCAAAGCCGGATGCAGCGACTCTAGACGGCTACCACTAGTGCTGGTTCGGTTCGGTTCGGTTCAAGTTAAGAGCCCTTTCCTCTGAATGACTGAACCTCGCATACGGTTCAGCAAAAAGTTGAACCCCGAACCTGAACACGGGTTCAGGTTCAGTTCAGCGTCTGATTCGGTGTTCGACCGTGTTTGAACCTGGTCGTCCTGCGGAGCAAAAACTGGAAGAAGAAAAAAAGGGAATGACAAACCACATAATTCTCATCTATATGTGCTGAAATCCTTCAAAGGTAGGGCAAAGTGCCACAAATGGCCCACCAGTGATGTGTTTACAGTTCAACGACGTGTGTGAAGTGCGTCTAGAGACACCCGAGCAGCGTTCGGCGGGCATCCAACTCAGTGAAATTTCAGGCGACGTGCTTCCGTGTAGTTGCTCCCTCCCATCCCCACCGCACCTTATTTCAGTCCTGTATGTACGATAGCGACCATACCGATGAGGATATGGTTTATTCCCTGCTAGTGATATGTATCTCAGCCCGAGATAGCAGATATACCCCACAGAACTAACCAGAAGTCCCATTTGAATGATCCCTGCCCGCCGACTGAATTCCGGAACTCTCTTCGCACCATCCAAATTAAATTCACTCTCGGGCACCGCTTAATTCCAATTGACCCTCATGCGAGGTCAACACATTGTCACTTTCTACTTGCTGCTCTCTGGAGAACTCATGGTCTTGAAATGGGGCACCACCTCTCAACCGCGCGCTCATGCGCGCAGCGCGGTAGTTGAACCATTGCATTGTTCCTGCTCGAAACGGCCCATTGCCGAGGAATTTACACTGGATAGATACTTGAGGTATCTGAGATTTTACTGGAACCATAAGTTGCTGGCCGAATGAAAACTGCGCTGTAGCGGCAGAAATTAGTCCAACCGGGACAACACGTCCCCTTCGCCTCCCATTAGGACAAACACGTGACTCAGTCACACGTGATGTCGGGCTAATCTGTCCCAGGCCTTTCCTCGTTCCTCCGCAGTTCAAGATCGACTTTGGATCCATCGTCGGGTTCTTTGTGCGAGTGCCTCAAGAATTTCCTTGTGTTCACCCTTAATCTCTATCCCATCCTCACCCTTACCTCTACCACTCGCTCATTTTTATCACAGCGGCAACCTCCCCCTGCGCACCTTCCTCCCCTTCTTCCGCGCCGACTCGGAGCTCCAGGCTCTCCGCGCTCATCTCTGCGCTCCTCCTCGCGTGCAATTTCCTCACCGCCGCGCTCGTCCGTGAGCGCGCGCTCCTCGCCAGCGCCAGGTGTGTTCGTCTGCTTCCTTTATTTTCTCGGCTAGTGGACTTACACATCTATAGCGCCTAGCGCCCCTCCCTCCCGCGTGAGCTGCGTGACATCTGGGCGCAAGTGCCCGCCATCCGCCAGATCATGAGTTTCCCTTCGTCCCTCTCTCTTCTCTTCTCCCCTCTTCCCTTCTCTTATCCTATTTCCTTCTCCCGGCCTTACCCCTCCCAGTCATCATATTCCCATTTGTCTTTCTCGTCTTCCCCGTCCTCGTCGTACTCCTCTCCTTCCCTGAACCCGTATTCGCATTCATCTTCCCCGTCTTTCGACCCAGCTAACCCGCCCAACCCAGTACACCGCCCAGCTCAGTACATCATCCAGTTCTTGTGCGTCCCGTCGCCCCTCCTCGAGCCGCGCGCGTCCGCTGCTGACTCCGCAAGAGCAAGACGCGCGTGGTGGTGGAAGGCACTGCGTGTGCCCGACCCACTGCCGACACTGTGGGCCACGAGCCATGCGTTGTTCGCGGCGTGCATGATCGGGAGCTTGTGCGTTCTTTGCTTCTTGTTTTCTCCGTCCATCTGCTCGCTTTCGCTCGCACCCCCTTTCATTCGCGACTTCTCGATTTCTGCTTTGGATTGAGGTTTCTTTCTTGGTTATTGGGCACGGGTCCGCGATACCATTGGATGCCACATGCTCGCTTTTCTCGTCGCACCCTCGTCGTTTTCTTCTTCTCCGCTCTCCTTCTCTCCCTCTATCCGCCAACCTTTCTCATCCTCGCTCGGACTCCCTTCCTCCCTTACTTTCTCTCCCCCTCGCTCGCTCTCCCTCTCCATCCTCCCTTCCGCTGGCTCCTCCCCGCCCCCCCTCCCTTTGCTCGCTTTGGCTCGCACCCTCCTTTCGCTCGCTAACGCTCCTCCGCAGCGTGCACGGGCTTCTCGTGGGGCGTCACCCAGTGGACGCCGTTCTCGCTGGTGCGTCGCCCTTTCTTGATATGCGTTTTGCGTTTGCGTTGGGTTTGGAGTTTTGGAGTGCGTGGCGGGCTTACGATGGCGCTAGCCTGCAGCGCGTGGCTCACCTCAGCCCCAAAGATCGCGCTCCCAGCCCCACCGCCGTACGGCGCCGTGTCTCCGCCTCCGTCCCTCCTCCCTGCCCGCTCTCACCGGGCATGGCTCGCTCCCCTCCCCATGCTGGGGAAACGGCGCCGCGCAGCTGAGCGTCGTAGACATGCTCACGCCGCAGTCGGTGTGCGCGCCACGCTTCTCTGGGGCCGC